TGTTATTTCTTTCACAAAAATAATTGTTGTCTTTAGCAAGAGACATGGGATACTAAAGTGTCAAGTAGTAAAGCTACTTTTCTACTTGTATTTATCCCTTGAATTTTCTTTCACGTCGTTGCACACGTGAATCTATATGTTTACTTTCCTTCCCAAAAACCGATGAGGTCAGCAAACCCGGGGTATGCTTTTAGCTATGTGCAAATTATCGGAGCTCAGAACCATGTCATCAGACGATAAAAAGACGGTATCAGCTATGGTGTCATACTTTAACTGTAATCTTTTAGAAATAAAATCGACATATATATATGTATATGTTACCATGACATACTTCCCCAACGAACTTATCTAATTCCGTGGTTCGCCTTTGTAGAATACTTCGCCTTGGTGCCACCATCTATCAAGGAGCTGAACAGTGATTATCTAAAACCTGGAACACTTAACAAAGCATTGTAAAAAAAAGCAAGAGAATATCGACAAATAGAACTAGCTGTTATATAGATATGGTTTATCCGCAATGACTAGTAAATTGCATTAAGTAATTATAATTCTGGTACATGTTTGTTTATGTCCACGTGTCTTTGGATTGCATTCAGGCCCCACATTGTGGGGTAGTTAACAACCTCAGTCTGAGTAGTATATTGGTATATTAGCACCTATAACTGTTCGACAATTATCATTAAATGTGTAATAATTAAGGCCAAATGCCAGGTATTGCCAAATTACCCGTTATGAAACCAAAGCATAGTTATAATGAAGGGGGAATAAAGTGGTCCTTTATGCTGCAACGAAGCGGCTATACTTTGATCGCTTTCCTCACTAAAGTTATGGCATAAAGGTAAACCCGAAATATTGCAGGGGCTATTATATTAGTTACAGCATCATGTGAAAAGAATTTGCCGTTTCCCAAAATGTATTGGTATTTTTATCTGGGGCTAGTTACCGAAATTTTACGGAAATGTATGAAAATGTTGTCAGATAAAACATCAATTAATTTTTCTTTTATGGTGTCAAATTTCATGTTAGTGGCGCTATATTTAGATGCAGGAAAATGCAATGAAGCAACAGAAATGGATGTGGTCACCCTAGCAAATCGGGATACTGTTGGCAGGATAAAGTACCCCATACAAAGTATGCAGCGGTTACATTATAATCCTGATTACATCATGATTTACATGGGCGATTATCATCGAACAAAACTGCCATGGACAACGCGTAATGGAAAAATGGTTTCCATATTGTGAAACCTAGTAAAAATCTTTACACCAAGTTTCCGCTTTCGGTTAAGTTCCACAGTTGTGGAAACCTGACCATTGGATAGAACAAAATAAAAGATATGAAATCAATACAATCTAGAGAATCTGTGTTTTGAGCATTCATTTTGCTTTAAAAGCCTTCGTTTATTATTTGTCACAATTCATTTACCACTGGTTAAAGTTAAACAACTTTTGTGAAACCTGGGCCGATTTCCATCTACGTAATGCTTTGGTTGGTTGGTTGTCAATGTTTTAACGTCCTATCAACAGCTAAGAACATGTTAGGACGTGCCCCCGTGTGTGTTGTGTATGCATGCATTTGTGTATGTGCGACGGGGACAGGGTATGTTGGTGTACTCGCCTGCTTGTGATAGTGTAAATCTGATGCCGACTTCATATATATAGTGCTTTCTCACTGAAATGCCATGCCGAAGGCATCCAGCAGAGAACTATACCAGGTCACCTTATACTGACAACGGGTAAACCCAGCTGTTGCAATTACCCTGAATGTTGAACCGTATTGCTATGGGTGGAAACCTAAGATGAAGGTGAGTAATATCGATATTCCTTAAAATAGATAAATGGGACAAAGAGGTAATTACAATTGTGTAGATCATAAAGTAGTTCAAGTTTAAGGAATAGTTTCCTATTTGAGGAAGTAATGAGCAAAACTATTCCTTAATTAACAGTTTTTATGTGTGTGTTAATGGTTCCTAATTATTTTACAACACCATGTCTCATTACTTTGTCTTGTTAGCAGAAAGTGTTTGCATAACCTCGCCCACATATTTTGTTGTCGGACTCATGGAAACATATCACCATCAATGCCAAAGTTTTGCGATGATAACTCCAGTTAACGAGAACAATTGTTATTGACTAAATATATGTGTCGATTGTACATATGGTAGTATCTACAATGAATATGTTTTTGATGGTGTTTGGATAATTATAATTTTTATGTATACATTGTTCATGTATGCACTTATGAGTGGAAAAAAAATTATCGAACTTATTTGCATTCAAGTACTGTGAAATATTTTTTGTGGAGCCCGGATTTCGTGGTTTCCCGACAAAACGCCGTTTCCTTTACAAATATTTGTTATTTAAAAATCACTGTCTCATTAGAGGAAAAACACTTGAAAATTTCATGCAGAAAAAGCAAAATTTATAAAATCTTTTACCTGTAGCTTAGCGAGATCGGGTTATCTCAGTCGAGGGTTAATATTCTGTAACAAAATCCCAACCGAGGCGTAAGCCGAGTTTGGGATGTTACAGAATCTTAGCCCGAGACTGAGATAAAACCCGATCTCGCTTAGTTACAGGTAAAAAAAAATCTCGCACCTTTTAGTCTGAAAAGAACTATTCAATTTTTCTGAAAACTACAAGTATTCCGCATTGGGACTCAAATGATAATAATATCTTCACTACTAAAGCTACATTTAAATGCTTCTGCGTAAAAATGTAGTCTGTCCTTACATGATTACAACGTATTTCACAGTGCAGATTATATTTTAACTACAACATCAAATATCTAACAACATCAGAACTGTACATGTAACGACAAAACAGAACACTTATAATGCAAGTTGTGAATTTCAAGCAGTTAACGCGCGGATGAATACATCGCAGTGTAAGGATTCCACGAAATCTCACGTAAAGGTACAAGACAGATCGAATGAGATTGAACAATCTAGCATGGGGTATGACGTGGGATACCTCTGTCTGAGATGCGAGAAAAGCATGATCAAGAAGCTCGGATGGTTAGAGAGTTGGTTTTGTAATTGGAGGTTTAGGGTGCGAGTCCTGGTACGGCCCGATTAATTAAACTGAACATTGAGGTCCAAACTCATACTTAGGTTTTTGGCAGTGGTACAAGGATCCTTAATTGTAGATTCCTTTCAGCTAGCGCTAGTCAATTGGCTTAATTTAACAACCCACCCACTTCGTACATTTTACCTGCCGCTCAGTGACAGAAAGGTTGATTTAATTGACCTGATTGCTTTCATGTTTATTGATTACGTACAAATCACGTGACCAACCAAGCGCTTGACTTCCTAGGCATAGCAAGCTAATGACCAATATGTTTCTACCCGTCGATATCGCCGGTACTCTCCTAGCTCTCGCACAGCTTCTGAATCAGCAACCTACACCGTGAATTACTCTTTCGTATCAGACAATGTGTAGTCAATATCATAACTACACTCGGTTTTATAACGGGTAATTAGGCAATTAAAAAAAAGATTGTACATGTAGTTGCAAGGGATCTTTTTTTTATTGTAGCATCGTGTAAATCTTATCTGGAAATAAAGAAGTTTTACATAGCGCTGTAATACTGTGTACCAGTTTCGCTGCAGTTTGATGTCCTCGTTTTCGCCTTATAACTGGGCGTTTTAATAAGACAGCGTATATCAGTACAAAACATAACATTGTAAGTACATGAAAAGAGGCGAAAATAAAGCTGGGCGAATATTTAACTGGGCGAACATTTTCCGATATATATTTATATAAATACATACGCGAAATGGCACTACTTGTATTTGAGCATGTTGTGCATTTATATCAATGAAAAATCCATCACCATTGTACGAGTGGTAGGTTAAATATATCGTCCATGTTTATTTACAATTTACGGAGATAAAATAAACATACTTAGCACCCGATTACGTGTGGCTTAAGTTGATAAGGGAGTATGTTTTTTTCTTTTGCCATTTTTTTTTCCTGATAACAAATATTAGATAACACCCGACAGTGACTCTGCATACAACACACAGGTGAAAATACGTTTGTTTTGACGCGTGGTCAATAGACGCGTTAGGAAACATTTTCGAAGAAGACGTCTTCATATGAAACAGAATTACACATTTTTCTCATAACTGTCCAGCTTGATAAGTCAGTAATTATTATGTAAATATGGCAAGCTTACCTAACATTGATTAAAGGGGCAATGTAAATAGTGTAGTCATCAGTTTATTTAAGATATCTTATATAAAAGTCTTAACTAGATACCTCATTAAAGATATAAGATGTCTGATAGAAAATAAATCCGATATTTTATATAAAAAATGTATACATGAAACCTTATATAAAATGTAAATTCACATATCTATTCCCAAAGTTTTAAGGTGCGGTCACCTGTGTGTGCGATGCGTTCATCTCACTTAGAAAGAAATCAAGATATGTTATATAATGCATAACATACGTATCTAATATGTATGTGTTATATAACATGTATATCACTTATATCTGTATTTATAAGCTATTTCATGTACTTATTTTATTTTATGAAATACAGAATCGACATTCCTCCTTGAATAAACACTAAATTGGCTTACTATATGCAAATACTACGTTACATATCCATAACATTTTGAACTAAGATTTCACTTTAAACTTTTGTCCTATTAGTATGTTATTCCTCAAGCAAATTTGGGTTGATGTACTGTCGCATTGGTCTTACACACCCTGTTTACATTTGTTGAATCGTGGGGCAAAGTCTGATCAATTAAGTCATGCAACATTGACAATTTACGTCATAACCGATACAGAGGCGATATCAGTTAGACCCATTGATTTAGCTGGACTACTTACAACCACTAAGGAGGGAGATCCCCCTCATTACAAGTTCCGCTACTGTCAAATGCCGCAATCAAGACGGCCGGCTGAATCAACTGGGATTTACCATCCAACCAATCAGCGACGCCCAATCCTACCCAGGTAGGAGCGCTGAGCTTGCTTGTTATGTAGCAGCTGTGTATAGCAAGCGGCGCGAGACAATTTGCATGTGAGTTACGTCGCTTAGGTGTGCTCTAATAGGATAAAAAGGTGCTTGCGCGAGACTTGTCTGTCAATAAGTTACGGGACTGCTAGAGAGAGACCCATACACACGGAATGGACATGTCAACGTTGAGAACAGCCTACACCATGTGTAACGTTCTACTGGTAATACTGGGAGTAACGCTGTTATCACAAGGTAAGTTTTTAGGATATCCACTTCTACTGACCCGGGAAACTTTAACTTTGAATTTAATTCTTTGCAGTGAAAATTGTCTTAAACAACTTCAAAGCAATCTAGCTTGAGGTGTTGCTAAGTTGCTGAATGCTAAGTTGCTTGATTGAGAATTACTTTAACTACGTGTGGAATCTGAAAAGTTATTAATATGTTAAAGCATATGCTCCACGTACTATTTGAATTATTTTACTGCAAAACTGTGAAACTAAAAAGTGAATATTTAAAAAGACTGCGACTTGTATATGTAACATCTGGTACGAATAGGGGGAAATTTCATAACTAGTTATAAGCAATCTTCGCTCTAGGAAAACGGATATGTATGTGATTAAATACTCACTTGCCCTTTTAAATATGTTTTCGCTGATTTTACATTTCGAATATTTTTGAAATTTCAAAGGAAAATATTAACTTTACTTGTTTTCTTTCAAGAAAGAATACCTAACACTACTCATGGAAACTTAAAAGGTTTACTGTGTTGAAAACATGATCTGTACGCTCTGTTTAAATTATAACACTGCCCATTTCTGAAACAACATTTTTCCTGAAATGACCGTAAAATAGTTCCTGCGTTTAATTACTTGTTAGGGGGTTTGTAAAATCTTTAAGGTTAGGTATGAACTTAACTTGTTATACTTGGTATATATTTCGTGTGTGTTACCAGTAAGTCATAGGGGTTTTTTAAGCATTTTTGTGTGGTATTTTCGTTTACAAGGAAATTCTTTAGAAGCCAAATGTCTTAAGGCAGTGAGTACTGCCGTCTGTTTTGTATCTTCACCTAAGAAGAGTTCCAATTCGGTCGGCATATTTCTGACATTGAATTACTTGCTCATTTACATAGCAAACAGTTATATTCGAAAGAAATATGGTTTAGATTAATTACCTTTTCACACATAGCGTCTCTATCGTTAGGATCGATCACTCAGTTTTGCCATTATATGGAAGGAAGATGCTACCGGTCATTACATTTGATACCACAGTACTTTTATATTACATTGGTGGGAATAAAATTCAGTATATTAAAACTTCCTAAAAGGATCCACAACCAATTATTGTCTTTGTACGAATACAAAAGAAATAGCATTAATTAAGCAGCCAAATACCTTTTCAATGCCGCCATAGAAAAATAGGTTGAGAGACGCTTTCGGTTAAGTCCACACATTTTCTCCGATTTCGCAATACTATGAACAGAGATTTGTGCAATGGGCTCATGGAATAGCTTGAAATTATATAACCTAGAGAATTAATCCATAAGTACCCAAGGGTAATACATCATGTATCAATGAAATTTATTTAAATATCTGTTTCTGCTGTATGGATTTACTCGTTAATGACATTTGTCTAACGTGTCCGAGACAACGACTTCAGCACTTATTAAATCTGTTTAATATCCATCGATCATAACATTTAGGGCCATTGGAATTGTCCATGTAGTGTGTCTGATAGGCTAGAGAGTTAATAAGAAAATCTGGAAAGATGTCTGATTCGATTTCTAAAACTTGACGTATTTTGTGACGACTGAAAAAAGAGAAATTAAATATTCTCAAGAATATGTCTTAAGACCATTATAATAGCGAGCAATGTTTATTTTTGGCACGTTTTAGAATTCATATCATCCCGAACGAAAAATAACTGTTAGAATAAGTGATTTATATTAAACATTACGTATCTGTCTCTGCAGTTTTAAATTGAATTTTACATGCTTCCTTGAGATATTGTCAAGTAAAACCCATTAAACGGACGGAAACCTTCTGATATGTTGAAGGTCGTGTACCTTCGTCCTTTATATGAGACCTAAAACATATTCTATCATGAAGATCAAGGTTATTGGGGATATAAAATCGTGATATTATCCATGTTAACTATCTATTTAGCAAGAGCAAACATTTATTAGTTTGGAGGAATGAAAATCAATCATTAAGCTAAACCATAAAAATGAGTCATACAGCCGTTGCCTCCTCCTTGGACTCATCGGTGACGCTAAGGTCCAAACATTCGGCAATCAAATGTTCTAAACGACTGTTGAAACAGAGGTGCAGGTAAAATCCTTTATTTAAGAAATACAAAATTTAGAGGAACACAGCGTTTTTCGAATTTAATAATCATTGAAGTGTGTATATTTCGAACCATGCCACTACACACAGGTGATAACTGGTCATCAAGGTTACAGCAAACCTAAACAGGATATACCACCTTGTATCTTGACAAATAAACATAACACACACACAGAGGTGAATGCACCAGTGAAATCTAGAAATACATGAGGTATGCAAAAAGTGGATTACACTGTATGTTGCAAGTGTTTTATCCCGCTCAGACTCATCGTTGATGCCATATGCCAAATCGTTTTCTTTCCTTCAAAAAGGTAGAGATTAACATAAAACTAGATGTTGTATAGTCTTTTCAATTTCAATTTATAAAGGTTGGACAATTGAAATTATTTTTAAGTCTATTTATTACGAACCAACACTTATCGTGTTTAAACTGGTGAAAATAGGAAAAATATTACAATCGACATTAGCAGATTATCATCACCAGAAATAAGTAGTAGGGCAGCACCTCCTAACCATTTGATGCGTCTATGTGGAGAGCAAAGCAAGCATTCACTGCATCGTATGGTCATATCGCTCATTTAGGAATCCTCAGTAGTACTGATTGTCACAAGAGTACGAATCGCACCCTGAAATGTTGTGTAGCATATGTAGAATATAGTAAAACGGCAAAGTGCTTTTACAACGTAACAAATTGTAATTTGGCTAAAACAGAGAACAAACAACACAAAATCATTGAAACCCTGCTAGGGCCTTTACGGTATCATAACTTGTACTATTTTATGATATGTTGTATATATGTTCTTTCGCGAATTGCAAACTTTCATGGTTTTCTGGCACTCTTGATCTTGAGCTGTTGTTTCGTTAACATAGTCACTGTTCTTAATTTTATGGTAGCACTGCAGGAAAACACCCAAAAGAAATGTACACCAAACGTTTCGTGTTGCGAAGTAACGCTACAAATGCTTATGATATTACTTTGAATTTATATGGAACTTAAAATGTGTGAAACAAAATATTCATCGTTATTCAGACCATACTTTTATGTTATAATTGCCCTTAAATATATTTGATCATAAGTAATAGATAAAACAAAATATCGAGCTTACTACTTTGAATTTGACCGGATTTCGTGCATTAAACAGCAAGAGCTTATCCTTTTTTAATAGCTGGTCTTATTTTCTTTGTGCCATCTTACAAAGGTCTCCGAATATTTCATTGTTTTTAGACACAAATATGTGTAGCTTGATCGCAATGTCATTTTGTTTCATAGTAAAATAGAAGAGGACACATATTGTATGTCCATCTCTAAAATGTTAAGAACTGATAACCTTGTACTTATAAAACATTGTCACAACAATACTCCGTGGTCCTGCAGTAAGCCTGAAGACTGAAGTTGTTTAAAGCCTTGCTTATCCTTTTGTACACCGTTTAACTAGTGCTGGTGGTCTTTGAATGTCGGAAAGTGGATACAAATTAATTAGCGTAAAAACAATGTAGTCTTACTTTGAATCTTCCGAACATATTGGCCACTGGTAGCAAGCCTACACCAGCGGGTTTCTGTTTTGAATTGTTGTGTTAGTCGCTAACCAACCGCCGCAATAGCATTAGTTACATCTAACTAAATATTGTTGTCTGTGGGTTTTTGTTGATCGGGATGTAGCGTTAGATTAGGGCACAGCACAGCACAGCTTGATTGATGTGATAATTCTCTATTAAGGATCATGTCGATCCATTTTGTCACTGTGTTTGTCTTTCCATTCGTCTATCTGTTTGTCCGTCTATAAACCGGTGGTTTCGTTTATCAGGGTTCTGTTGAGATGTTTTTTCAAACACACTGTGCGTGTAAAAAGTATTTCAATATCAAAATCTTCCCGTTGTCCGTAAGTTGCCCGCTATTATGCTTATCTTCTATTGGAAATCCTTTGTATTTATGAACCTTTGGTTGAAAGCGTGTTCTTTACATTAGCCTCTTTCCATAACATTTATACTCTTTTCTGAACTAATTTGGTGTTTAAAGAAGCCTGTGTTCAACAGGCTTCTTTGACAATAATTAAATCTGTAGTGAAACGGCACATATTAATTATCTCTTAGAATTAATGCTTTTTCATTAATTATCATGATTCCCAAATCAAGATAATTTCACAATTAATGAATATTAAAAGGAAAGCTTACGAGATATTTTTATTGTATAACTATTAGTGCTGTTTCTGTGTCCCCTGTGTATAATTTAATGATAATCTCGCCATGCATATAGTCTGAATGCCTGTCGGTGTTATTAACTGCGACAGATTTTAATTGTAAATAGGATAACGGTCGCAATTAGCTTCGTGCTTAAGGGAATTTCCCGTAAGCTCAATAAGTAGAGCGTCGGACTGGGAAATGGGAGCAGCGGATTCGATTCCTGTTTGAATCAGACAACAGTCTTTCCCTCAACAGAAATATAGGGTTATCTGATAGTACCGGGTGTATGTTTCACCAAACACCGGCAGGTATCTATTGCATGGAACACATAGGTTAACGCATCTTCGCTAGCCAAGTGTTCGCTTCGTATACACTCCACTTACCCTTGGCGGATATAGCCGTGTTTTCATAAACCCCTCCACTGCCACCTAGCAGATATACCGAGTTATCGCTCTTCTCCCAATTTTGTTTTAACCAATCAGAATGACCGTTACATACAACTCCATCGGCGTGTTGACAAAACCACGTGTATGTCGAGGCGGAGTATAAATGACAGAGCAATATGTAAACAATCCAAAGGCAGCACACATATTTTCCCAGTTCATCAATTGCATGTGGCACGCAGTCAATGATTTCCACCAACTGATTTAGAACTCCAAAAGTTTCCCCAAAGATCGTGCGCCTATTTTTTGGGGGCAAAACACTCTGACATAAACGAAAACGTGCTTC